TCTGAAATGCTCTAAAAAATCTGAAACTTTTTGAGCACTGATATGATATTACAAGTGAAAAATTCCACACCTGACACCTTTGCTTTCTGATAGGTCAGTGTATACAAACTTTAATTCATGTACAAATTATTAAAAATATTGTATACAATTACCTTCAAGCTAAGGTTATGTGTATAAGGTGTATAAGAAACACAGACGAATTTGTGTTTAGATTTGGGTACCATCCCTAAAGTATCTCATTATGTATATGCAAATATTCCCAAATCAAAAAAAAAAAAAAAATACGAAATACAAAACACCCGTTCCCAAACATTTTAAATGAAGGATACTCAACTTGTAATGTATAGATTCAGAAACACGAGCTGGAAAACACTATAAGTATTGTTTTACTGCCAGGAAAAGGAGGCCCAGAGAGGCTAAGTGACTTGAAGGGCTACACAGCCAGTGGATGACGGAGCCAAGAGTGAAATTTCACAACACAGCTTTTTAGTCCTGGAGCCTTTTCCACACCACCTGTTGTCTCTTCTGTAATAGCTTCTATCCACTGAACTTTGCACATTCAAAGCGACCTCAAAGAGCCCTCTCGGGTCACTTGGACCAATCTTCTACATAATTTTTTTTTTTCTTTTTGCAAGCCACCTCAAAGAGCACTCTCGGGTCACGTGGACTGATCTTCTACATAAAAATCTGTTCTACCGCATCATTTATGTATGCACTCATAACCATCTCCAAGGCCAATAAAGCAAATGCTTTGCAGGACGCCGTAATAAAAGTAAAACTTTCTTTGCAGCATGTACAAAGACTCTGTACGTCAAAAACCTCTGCTCAAGTCCAGCCTGTGCCATTTAACAGGATCGAAAAAAGAGCTGGAGTTGGATGGGAAGGAAGAGAGAGAGTGGTTTGGTGAAGGAACCTTGGTTTTGACACTAGCTCTCCGCCGACCTTGGACCGGTTATGTGAAAAACTCTTCAGGCTTCAATCAATCCCCCCCGAATGTGGAAAAGGGGTGACAACAGCAACACCTTGAGTGTTCCCCCCGCAGGAACGCTTTGAAACTGTTAGGCGGGACTGCGGCCGGTGCGCAGTTTTGGGAAGCAGCGCACTCAGCGGGGTCCCAGGCTGCCCAGACAGGACGGATTGTTGGGGGGCTCAGGCCGTCCTGCCCCGGGCTCCGTGGGCGGCGGGGTGGGGCCAGGGCGTGGGCGCGTCCCGGGGGGACCTCTCCTCCGGCTTCCTCCGCCCCGCCCCGGTCTCCCGGTGATCCACCCACTTTGGCCTCCCAAAGTGCTAGGATTACAGGTGTGAGCCACTGTGCCTGGCCGACTTTTTTATATTTTCACATCAACTGCTACCAAAGTGGCCTTCCTTTAAAAGTGTATCAGACTTACAGTTGGATACAATTTTTTTTTTTT